CTATCTGTACGTTTCCTGTAATAGCCGTAGGCTACTACAGGGTGTTGCGTAACATTGCTCCCTCTTCCCTACTTATTCGCCCCGAATAACTTGATTACTGGGACCTAGTTGGAACTAATGGAGAAGATCTGGACCATGGAATGGAGCTATCTTCCCACGCCTGTCGATTCTAGCTTCCGCTTTATCGGTGTGGGCTTTCAGTCGTTCCCGACCGAATCCATAGACCTTTGTCCTGCCATTGCATACATCACATTTTTTACACCAATCCGCTACACCCCGTCGGCAATTAACCCAATAAAATCTTTCCCGAACTCGTGCCAGTGTCCTTTTAGTATCAAAGTGTCCTCCTGAACGGCTGCTATGAAGCTCCTCCAATACATTTCTCACCTGTGACCTCGGCAGTATCACTTGGCGGACTACATGTACCCCATCGGGGCTCTCCCACTTCCGGTGCAATAGACCATCGTGAAGATACAGGGAATCCCACTGGATCCAGTGGCCTTTTATAGTTCTACTGTATTTGGCTATCTCTTACCAAGTAGGTGTAACTTTATTTTTGAGCCATTCTCCGACAATCTTTAAGTCATTGTCTTTCTTCTGTCCCTGTCTCAAACTTTCAAGGGGGATTTCTTCTTCGTCGCCCTCTGGCTTGATAATGGTTGCCCGAAGAGTAACTTTATCAACCGGTTCTTCTCGTTCTTCGAGCCTTTTACCATACCAGCATTGTTCCTCTAAACGGGGTTGCCCGAAGAGAATGTCTGCGTTGTTATGGAGACCTCTTCGATGCTCTACTTTCTGGTTATTATTAAAAGGCCGACTCGGTATGGGTGATTGGCTTCTTCGGGACACATAGCTGCTGTAATTAATTCTTGTTGATCTTAGTGATGGGCTTGGGAAGATTGATCTATATCATTTTCCGGTCTCTTTCGCTGATTTTCAATTTATAGAATGAGCCATGCTTCTACAGGTTCTTTGAAGATGCCCGATTCTCCCGCAATTTAAGCATCTCCCGCTTCCATTTTGGCTGTATCGTTGCGTATTTCGTAGGATATTTAAGATTAGGGGAATAGCATTAGTATTGGCCTCACTTTCCTGGGATTTAATTTCCCTTACTTTTACGCGAGAAGATGTGGATAGGAGTTTTTCCGCTTCATATTCCTGGGCTGCAATCAGTTTCTCTCTCAGCGTCTTGTGATGTTGTAGACGTAGGACTTGCTGTATTTCCGCATCTTGTAATCCGTCAATGAATGCCTCTATTCCGATTTGTTCTTGGAAATCTTTGGGCGCCTGTGGATAGGCCAGATGAATCAATCTTCTTATGTCGGCCCCGAATTTCTGTAGACTCTCATTATGTTTCTGACTACGAATTTTTAGCTGGCTTTGAAATACCCGTTTCAAATGCTGCTGGCCATATCTTGTCTCCAAAGCTTGGACGAGATATGAATAACTGGGTTCTTCTTGAGGAAGTAACTGTAACACGGTTGATGCTTGTCCTCGCAGCGACGCTATCAATGCAGCCGCCATCTCCGTTTCAGCCCAGCCATTTGGTTCTAGCGGCAGCTTTAAATTGGAGGCGATACGTTTCCCATGTTGTCTGCCCGTCAAACGTGGGTGGCTTAATGATCTTGCTAGTATGGATTTGTGAAATTACAGATGAGGACGAGGTAGTGTTTTCAGATTCTCTGTTGCTTATCGAAGCTAGGCTACAAATTCTTCTTTCTAACTCAACTTTTCCTGTTGTTTTAAATGATCTCGTTGTTGTTCTAAATTAGTTTTTAAATGCTCTGGCCGCTGTTCTAAATTAGTTTTTAAATGCTCTTGTTGTTGTTCTAAAACATCTACTCTAATTTTGAGCTAACCAATCTCTTGCTTAGAGGTTTCCTGGATTTTTAGCAAAGCATTCATAATTTCTACCTGAGCTTTTTTATGCCTCGTCCTTCCTGCGTCTTTCCTTCTCCTCTTCTCGCCTTTCCTTTTCCTTCTCTTCTTCCTTCCTACGCCTTTCCTTTTCTTCCTTCCTACGCCTTTACTTTTCTTCCTTCCTACGCCTTTCCTTTTTCTCTTCTCGCCTTACTCTATCCTCCTCTTCTTCCTTCCTACGCCTTTCCTTTTCCTCTTCCATATTCAAAAACCATGCTGGTGGGCCTGAAGTATCCATGCCTGCTTCGTACTCGGTGGATCTAGTATTTACCATGAACTTCTACTTTATATCCCACCGCTGCCACCAATGTTACGCAGGTTTTTGGTATCGCAATTTATTTCAACTCAACTTTTACAACAACTATTCAACTGATAACATTAACATGTAACGTCTATCATAAAACTAAAAACTGACGTCAGGATCATGCTTATATAGCTTGCTTGGCCCTTCCTGAACTGTCATCTAGAATATTCTTGACGGGTAATGACATTTCCAGACATTTTGGGACTATTAAATCTTCTTTTACTTGTACTTTTACCTATAACGACCGCAGCACACAGTAGGGCGATGAGTAACATTCCACTTCTTTTTATATCTGTACATTTCCTGTAATAGCCTCAGGCTACTACATACAGGGTGCTGCGTAACAATATTTTAAATGTTTTTTTTTTCTTAAATTTTGAATAAAAATTGATTTATATTGATTTTTATTTAATATTGGTGTTTTAATTTCTTTAAAAAATTCTTAGCAATTGAAATATTTAATTGATATTTTTATTGTCCGATACCGATATAGGCCAATATCTCACTTAACATATCGGCCGATATGGGTATCGGTCGATCTCTAATTATTAATGAAATTAAGAGCTGTTGGTTTGGAAGGTTGTACACTGGGATGATTGGGACATTATTTGGAAAATAGGAAACGGAAGGTTAAGGTAAGTAAATGTGTTTTGGATACTATAAAGAATAATATGGTACCACAGGGTATTGTTCTGGGTCCGCCATTGTTTTTAATTAATAATAATGACACTGCTAGTGTATCCGAAAGATGATGCTCAATACACTTATTTGCAGATGATACACTGGTCTATTTTATCCATGAAAACACTGAAACTTATTTTAAAGAAATTAATACTAAATAGTAAATAAATGATTATTGTAACAGAAACTCGTTGAAAATAAATTACGAAAAGACAAAATGGATGTAGTGGAAATGTAATTAAATTAAATGTAGCAAAGCAGAGTGTTTCTGTTGATGGAGTAAAGCTTCAGAGAGTCGAAAAAATTAAATATCTAGGCATTGAGATATTTCCTTGCTGCATTGGCGACAGAAAGGGGCACAATAGATATTTTAGGTCGCACTGTAATAACACCCCATTCCCAACATAACATAGGGTTGATACAAATTTACAATTTAAGGAGCGTACTAATGTCAATAACATTTCATTTAAAATTAACTATTTGAGTAATTTATAATACTCTTGTATTACCTCATTTTATATTATTGTAGCACTATATTGTATTAGCTCAACCAGAATGAGATGCAGCGATTGTAAAAGTTGCAGAATATGAGGATAATACAATACTAAGCTATTCGCGATTGGAACTTATTAATTCCAAGTTAAGTAGTTTCCTGTTAAAAAATATTTACTGCTTTATTCCATGCTATTTATATTTAAGATTAAATCAGGAATCTCCACAGTATATTTACAAAATATTTTAATTTTTAATCAGGATGTTCATGAACACAATACAAGAAACGAGGAAAATTTTAGAGTTTATGAGGCCGCGAAAAAAATAATTTACTCAAAATTCAGTTTTGTTTTTAAAGGTGTACAGGCTTTTAATAGATATTAAATGCTCTTTAAACAATATAATATTAAAAAAAATCGTTATATTACTTGTTGACTTTCTTTTTCTGTTTTATTATGTTTTGTAAAGTTGACTTTACTTTATTATTTTAAATGTATGTTGACTATATACTTATGTATGTTAATTTTAAATGCGATGAATGCGTATAATACGCACTCATGTAAATTAGCTTTTTTTGGCTACATAAACGACTTATACAGGGTGTTTGTATATTTGACCAACAACGCTCTACCCCAGAAAGCTCTCGTTAATTGATGATATAGGAACATGGACCCTTACAGGGCTTAGTTACAGAGATGCAGGGTGTTAAAACTTTGAAATCAAAATTTAAAATTAGCCATAAATCAAAAACGCCTTTAAATATTAATTTCAAATTTGGTGACCAATATGCTCTTTAATAAAGTAATATTTTGACATAAACTTAAAAATGTTTACCAGTGACGCGCTATCAAGGTTAATAGTAATTTTTCCTATTTTTTACGCCATTGGGAAAAATATTTCTTATTTTTTTATTAATATTTTTTTAAATTCTCTGTTCATTTTTAGTAAACTTTTATGAAGCTAAAATGAACAGTGTCACAGAAATTTGCTTTTAAACAAAAGTCTACGTATTATTTATTACTTGTAAGAACTCAATATTTTTAAATTCTAATCTAGTAAGCACGTGTCAATTTTTTATAGTTTGTGTTTTTGACAAGATCTTGGTGGATCAAATTTGAAAAAAATATTTTTTTGTTTTATGGTAAATTTGAATATTGATTTAAAATTTTAACACCCTGTATCTCGGTAACTAAGACCTTTAGGATTTCGTGTTCCTATATCAAAATTCATCAATTAACGAGAGCTCTCTAGGGTAGAGCATTGTCGGTCGAATATACAAATACCCTGTATACATGTTAATATGGCACCCTTTGATTAAAATGTTTTATTTTTGTTAAAAAAGCGGCAATTTTTAAAACTTATTTATTTCCCAAAAGTTAATAAAAACGGAGTTGCTTTAGACCTATTAGATAGTTGTTTTTATGATGGCTGGACAGATTTTTTTCTATTATCCCTTGTATAGTCGAAAAATAACGAAAGCTTATGGGTAGATCCGATAAAAATATGTGAACCGACAACATAATTATTGTATCACATCCTAGCGCGACTATCCACACAAATTCCATCATACGATAACAAAGTGTTTAATTAATTAATAGCTCACCTAAATTGCGCAATAAATTCTCGTCGAATCTGTATGGTAATCCAAAAATAACACAAGAAGAACGTTTGCACCAACACCGAAATCACTGAATGCTTTTCTATATCTATTTCTAGACCATTATGATTTCCTAGTTGTACTTCTAACAGACGAAACACCAACCGACCTTGCTGCAAGTCATTGCCATTGACATTGGCTTCAAGGCAACGCTTATTATTATTGTTACGTTGTCAACTCGGCTAGAGTAATATTTTTACACTCACTCAATAATTTTTCTTGATAGCACTATTATTGATCTGATTTTTGGCATTCAATTATATATAAACAAACCAATAATAATCGTGCCAATACCTATTATGTTCTGTTCGGTTTGCGATAGAGATAAGATAATACTAAAATTATTGTTCAATTTATTAACCTTTGTTTTGTGTTTCTACTCCGTTGAACAGTGAAGAGAACATAGCCATATCCGAACAGTAAAAAGAATTTACACGGCTTATGGACGTTTTAAAAACCGCATATGTAGACCAAAAGTTAAATCGACGAATATATACGAGTAGTAGGTATTTAAAAATACAATTTTCAGTTAAACATCGTCTTACTATAGAAAATTGATAAATTTATTATTTTCGGTAGAAACCAATCATTTAATATAACCCCATTTTACTTTATCTTAAAGGCGTCCTTTAACAGTATTTTATTCTATATTCCAAACAAATAAGAAACATAAATAGTAAGACTACCTTATTCCATAATACATTTATAGTGCGATACGGACAATACATTCCAGTTGTACAGTATATTTTTTCTTCGACCCACTAACGAAAATCTAAAAATTTTAAAAATTATTTTAGGCTATTAAGAAAAAATATAGTATATTACATTATTATTACTTTTCGCACAAGTGATGTACAATATTTTTCCTACGACCACAAAATAATTTCATCAAAAAATGTAAAACCAGATTATTATAATAATTAAAATGTATTTAAAAAAATAATCAACAATAATCGTATTTATTCAATTTTCATAATTTCTAAACAAATAAAAAAAATAAAAAAAAAAATCTGGCACAGCCAGGATTTGAACGCGGTCGATCGACGGTCTCAAATTGTAAAGTTGACGCTCTAACCAACTGAGCTAACAGGCCTTACGGCAATTGATTGATCTAATCGCTTATGTGTTTAACCAGAATAAAAAGCAAATATATCTTAGTAATTTTAATAACAATTGTTAAAGATAAATATCTAGGATCTAATTTACAACAATTTCAATAATTTAACAATCATATCGATTTTAGTATTAATATGGACATTACATAGATCAAAATAGAAATTATGTGTTTGACATTTTCTGACAGCTACTGCGGAAAGTAGCATATTCGTACGCGGGTGGAAAGTAAATTATTATTCATACGCGTGTGATATAGGGCACTTTCCATAGTGTGATATGTGTCACTTTCCTAAGTGGTCGTAGGAAAAATTCATTTAATTGGTCTCCAATCCTAGAATTGAACCCAAGACCTCCGCGTGAAAGCCAAATGACCTAGTCACTGCTCCATCGCCATACATAATATTTTAGTTTTGACACTCATATAGTTTTATTAAAATGTGTGGTTTATTTTTAAATATAGACAAAATAATAATAAAAACGTCATTGTTTATCGATTCTACACAAGATTAACTCATTTTAATGTATATTTAATCTCAATAACTAACAAATATACTGACAATTAGTTTGACAGAATTGTCAATTATTAAAAATTTTAAAAATAATATTAATCGGGTGACTGAATTTAATTATTTCAGCACCCACATGGATATTATCTACGCACAGACTACAAAACGAAAAAGTATGTCATTGCATTTAACTGAACGAATATATTTCATATCCATTCTAGATAGTGAGAACACTTCAAAAAAATTAAATCCACCAATCACAGTTCATATTTTGGACACTCAACTACTATTATTTTTAAAATTTTAAATAAGTGACAATCCTGTCAAACTAATTGTCAGTACAGTTTTAGTTATTGAGATTAAATATACATTAAAATGAGTTATTTTTGTGTAGAATCGACAAATAATCGTAAATAATAGCATTTTTATTTTTATTTGGACCATATTTTAAAAAAAAAACAAATTAAATTTTAATCAATCTATACTAAACTATTTTAATTACGAGTATTAAAACCAAAATCATAAAAGTGGCCGTAGACGCGTGGACATAGTGCTTGCCTTGCACGCGAAAAGACGGGGATCAATTCTCGGTTGGCGACTAATTTTTTTTTATATTTTATTTTAAAAATCAGTAAAATTCATAAATTATTTTAAAATTAGTTATTTTGTCTTAATAACCTAAAATATTTTTTTTTTAATTTGTAGTTTCGTCAGTGGGCCGTAGAAAAAATATACTGTATAGCTCGAGTGGATTGTCCATATCCACTCTTGTTGCACAAACTACTATTTTTGCTGTGTTCTTACTAGATATAATGTAGAATGGATATGAAATATATTCTTTCAGTTGAACGCAATGACATACTTTTTCATTTTGTAGTCTGCATAGAATAGCTAATATCCATGTGTGTAGAAATAATATATTACATTACGAGTGTGGAAAGTGACATTTTTCACACGAGTGGGAAATATTGTCGCACGAGGCACAAGCCGAGTGGGACTATCATACGAGTGTGGAAAATCACTTTTCACACAAGTGATGTACAATATTTTTCCTACGACCACAAAATAATTTCATCAAAAAATGTAAAACCAGGTTATTATTATAATAATTAAAATGTATTTAAAAAAATAATCAACAATAATCGTATTCAATTTTCATATTTTCTAAACAAAAAAAAAACTAAAAAACAAAAAAAAAATAAAAAAAAAAAGAATTTGAACGCGGTCGCTCGCCAGCTCTCAAATGGCAAAGTTGATAAAGTTTGATATCACCTGAGCTAATAGGACCAATTCTACCGTTGTGTTAAACGAAGTTTAAAATGACATTTTTACATTAACACAACGGTGGAATCGGCCCTAACCAGAATAAAAAGCAAACGTAACTTAGTTATTTTAAAAGTATTTTAATAATAATTGTTAAAGATAAATATCTAGGAACTAATTTTCAACAATTTACATTGATTTAACAATCATATCGATTTTAGTATTAATATGGACATTACATAGATCAAAATAGAAATGATGCGTTCGACATTTTGTGACAGCTGATGTGGAAAGTAAATTCTTATTCATACGCGTGTGATATAGGGCACTTTCCATAGGACTATATAGTGTGATATGTGTCACTTTCCTAAGTGGTCGTAGGATAAATATTTTTCCTAATACTACTTAGGAAAGTGACACCTACCGCACTATTTAGTCTTATGAGAAGTCCCCTATATCACACGCGTATTACTTTCCATATGTGTATGAATATGAATATCTACTTTCCGCATAAGCTGTCAAATAAATCAGACGTCTAATTTCTATTTTTATTGATGTAATATCTATTTTAAAAGTAAAATCGATTTGATGAATAAATTGTTAACATTAATTTTTAAAAATAGATCTTAGATATTATCTTTTAACAAGTTATTAAGAGAATTTTGAAGTAACTACCTATATTATTTTTACTTTTTCCTGGTTCATATACATATTTAATTATATAAGTCAAATTGATGGTTTAGCGTCTGACTTGTTCAATTTAGAATTTCGTGACCAATTCCCGATTAATTATTTTTGTTTTGTTTTGAAAAAATATGAAAATTGAAAAATGCGACTATTGTTGTTTATTTATTTAAAATACATGTTATTTATCATGTTATAACCCCTACAATATTTTGTACTATTTTAATTACTGTTCAGAAAAAAATTCGAAATTCAAAAAATTTTGATAAAATATAGAACCCTACAGTTTAAATTTTTTTTTAATTGTATGTTATGAATTTTTAATTTTTTTGGTGACGTCATTTTATTTACTGTTTGTATGTACCTCTTGTGCAGTTGTAGGTCTGAATAGTATTTAAATAATATATAAATAAAATATATTAGCCACATTTACATTTTAGGAAGCAAATATTTTATATGGTGCCTGTTAATAGTTATTGATTTTCAACGACTTGCAACATTAAAGCCTTTGGTTTTCCGAAGCCTAGTTCTATTAATTAATCATATAGAGAAAACCGCTTGCGTGGAAATGTTGGCAACAAATAACCTTTCATTTTTGTTGGAGAAAATTGACTTAGTGATATCACGTGATACATACCTTAGTGTAGAAAGTCGAAGTCGATTTTTGTTAAAGAAAATAATATTAAACAGTACAATAAATATTAAATGTATTAAAATAGAGTATAATTCACCTCCAAAATAAGTCGTAGATTTATTATTATAATTTTATAAAATATTATAAAACGATAAGCTCGCAGCTTCAGTTTACGAAATGTATATGTTTGTTTTATTTGGTAACATTCCAGCTCTCAGTGAAAAATTGGATTTTGTGTACTGGTCTATTTGATCTTCGTCAATATCGAACCTGTTTGCAATCCCCATCGATATTTAATAAGTCGGAAGTTACAGTTGAAGATTTCTGTAATTATTTGCACTAATTATATCTCTGCCAATAGATACCGGCACTTCCTGAATGAACTTTTATTTAACATTAATTTGTCGACAAATTCAATGGATACCCTGTCCTTACGCTTTTTTTTTTAATCTAAAAAACAAAAAATATATAGAAATCTTTTTTCTAATATTATTCATGAACTTTATCAAAAAGATTTTCATTTGTACTGAAACCACAAAAAGATAAAATGCCGGCACCAGGACGCCCATTTGTACGAATCCGCTTCCCGAAAAGAAAATTCAATTATCAAATTGCCTCAATTACGGTCGCGCGGCAAAAGTTGGTAGGCAAAAAAAAGAAAATTAAATTTCCCATTGCGATATGTCATAATTAATTATGGCCCCCCTTTTTTGGCGCGGTTCCTAATTTGTGAAAACGGGCACCTAATAGGTTTGTGTTTTTAATAATAATCGGGGTAGTTATGGAGCAAGACTACAAAATTCTTTGCGGTCCAAAAAATAAAGAAATATACCTAAAAATCGAAAATATACATAAACGAGTAATTTCTACAGCACAACGATGAAATAAAATAACACATACCTATTATATGTGACGCCTCTGATGATGGGTAGAAGGGCACAACAAAGTTACTGGAACATTGGATATCTCGATTTTTGTTGAACCGCACTTTAATATTGGAGTGGACAATCGCACCCATATAAGAAGGTTAAGTCAAGTGCAACGGGCAGAGTTATTTTCCTAGAATAAAGACTCATAGACAGAATAACGTTGAATACAGTTCGCCAAATTTGTTTGTTTTATT